TTCTCTTCCAAAGTTCATAATCTTTTAGTTCTACTATGTGATATGAAATTACTGGCCACTGTAGTATCTATCTCCAAATCCTGAACTAATGTTCTTATTTCATTTTGCTATTTCTTTCAAGGTAGTTAGCAGTACTTGTAGGGTGAAGAGTGAAGAAATGGCCTCTTTTACAACCTTGTAACGCTGAGAACTGTCAGTGTGACTTTTTTGGAACCAAACCCTTGTGATAGGACAGTTTATTTGAGAGGTTCATGTAAAGGCAAGGATTATGTTTATTAAAGACATTTTTCAAGATGCCTTTGTCGTAGGTGGTCTTCACAGAGGCTTTCTAACTCCTTGCACTTCATAACAAGAAAGTGTGACAGAGTAATAGAATAATATGAGCAAGATCATGGGAGCAGTCAAACAGATGTCATCCATGTTAAACTATTGCAGAGACACTGTGAGGAAATGAAATTTATTAAAAAAAAAAAAAGTAGAAGGGAGAGTGAAGAAAGAGGCCTCTGTTAGTGTAAAGAAAGGTTGTCTATTGCGACAGAGTGGGCTTCAGAGCACCTCCTCATAAGTGTGGCTCTTCAGAAATTATGTCTTGTGAGGAAAAGACTGTCTTTATGAGACTTCCCCTACACAGTATTAAAAGTAGTCTTCAGTAGGAAGAATTTAAGAAAAAAACAATATGTGTGTATAATAACTGATGCTAGCAGGAAACCTCCCTGAACACTTACCTGTTCTCCAGAATATGAACCCATTCATGTTCTCCAGGGCATTGTATTTTCAGCATTTTAGAATTTGGAGTGCTTGCAGAGAGAGAAAAAAAAGTGAAGCTCTGAAGACAACATAGGCAGAAGATATTTTTCCCTGTATAGTTTGGGGAATATTTAGTGACAAGGCTGTGTTTTTCTTCTTTCAATTTGCATTTATAAAGCTGATGAATAATGAACTATGTGAAATTATTGTGTGTGTTAAAGTTTAGGGCAGCATATAAAATTATAGAATTGCAAATAGATATCGTAATTGGACTAGTTGGTATATTTTTCTTCATCTAAATAATTGTTTTGTTTTTAATCTAAATGTTTTGGGTTTTTTTATTTGTTATTAACTTGATTTTGGGTCCTAGTACTATGCTTCTTTATCTTCTTCTCTCTGCAGTACTTAAAGCTATCAGCAAAATAAAATTGGTTAACAAATACTTGTGTATTTGTTAATTGTGGACCATCGTGGATGGTCTCAGTGTAACTTGCTGTGGAGGTATTTTCCACATAAGAAATTCAAACCGCACTCAGAAATCTTCACGTATAGGATCTGCCTCCAAATAGACATTTCAGTCATCATGACTATTGACATGTATGTCAAAGAGAAGGAGCTGAAATACAATAGATGACTGAAAGACTGAAAGAAACTGATTGCTATTAAAAAAAATAAAAAAGGTAGCAAAGCATCTTAGTGCCATAATGCTTTTGTAATGTGCTGAGATTTAATGTGGTCTCCTCATCCCAGTGAGGTATTTTAAAGCAATTCTGCAATAAGTATGGAAATATTTCAGAAGAAATATTAGACTTGAGGAGGCTCAACGTTTTTATTGAGTTTATTCATCTCATCATGAAAAGCGATCCAGTGCCCAGTTCTCAAATCCAGAAAAATATGTTGTAATATTACTTCTGAGTTTTGCTATTAATTCAACCCACTTACCTGTATGCTTAGGTTTTTTTAAAGAAACAATAGTTGCGATGGAAGTGAATCATAGCTTTTGTGGGAGATAAGGTAGGGGGGAGGAAGACAACCGAATAACACCAAAATAGTTTCTATTTTGCCATTTTCCTCAAGGTTTCTTCCCTCCATATTACTGATGAGTTCCTAAAGCTTGCTTTTTCTTTTTCTTTTTTTTTTTTTTTCTTTCTCCATTGGTGTTATTGATTAATATTCTATATAAATGTCTGTTCAAGTAGTGCTCGAAAGTAAAAGTAGTGTCCAGTCTTAGCTTCCCGATGGAACATTAGCTCCTTCCTGCAGAGAGTGGCCGTGTGTGGCACAGGACGTAACCTCACGTTACAGCTCTTTATGGCTGTTGCACATCTTCAAACTCTGCCAAGGATATGTGAGGGAAGCTGCAAAGACTACGCAGTTAAACATGTGAGGGATCCATGTACCCTCTTCTCCTAAGCAAATTATGCAACTGATGGTTCTGTTCTACTGATCACTTTTGCACATAAAATACTTTCTCCAAGTTTCTAATTGCTCCAGGCAGCATTACGTTTAGAAAGGTAGTTGAGAAGTTTGTATGGAGCTGCCGTTGTTTTTGTCAGGCGGGATAACACAGAGAAGGAAGCCACGTAAATCCAGTATAGGGCAGAGGAGCCTTGCGGTTCCTTGCCTCGGAAGAGTTTCCCTTCCTTTCCTTCCAGTTCCCGTCTTTAGGAACTAGCTCTTCCTAGAGAGAGCAAGCAAAGCAACAGGAGTTCAGGTTGTTTGTCTGAACAAGAAGACTGGAGGTAAGAAATAGGAGATAAGGAAAAGGAATTATCAAGGTGCCAGGAGTAGAAGGGAGAATATTAGGGAACAAAATAAGCCCTGTCGACCTTATGGATAAGAAGCCAGAAGTCAGCAGAGTAGAGGCAGGATATCGCTCATCTGTAAAACTAGGACTTGGTCTCAGATTTGAAATGAGGCAGGGGAAGGCTGCCTCTGTGCAAGGAGGAAAACGATGCTGGGAAAGAAATAGGAGTAGGGAGAAGGAAGCAGGGACTAGGGCACTGCCTGCCAGAGCACAACCTTTTTTGCTGTGTTTGGATCGCTCATGTCTTCATAGTCTGCTGGTTTGTCCCCCTCTCTTTTAGTGGTGCTCTGCCATATTATTGTTATTGCATCCGTCAGTTGCTCCTCCAGCCCTGTGTTAGATGTGAAAAAGTCCAACATTTTATGTACTGACTTGAAAGATGTATGATACTATATTGTAGAATATGTGTTTTTTTTAGCAATTTCTTGTTTGTGAAAACCTAGGAAATTAATATTCTACAAAGACATGATATCCTTTATAATGACGTGAAGTCTATTAATACTCTGCATTGATGCGTTTATATCTTTTGAAGTGGTATAGTAGCATTCCCATTTTAAACATAGGAAACTGAAAACCAGGCTGTTAGGACTGACCACATTTAGAGATTTGAGATCATAATTTAGGACCACAGTGTTTTAGAGCATTGTATAGCACTTCCCATGTTCAGAGTGTGTTTCTCATTGACTTCAGCTGTGGCTCTGGAGGTCTCAGCTCCTGTGATTTGAAATTGGACACTCAGAAGCTGTCAAGAAAAAAAAAGTTACTGGAGAGTTTTGTCCGAAGTGACCTGCTATATACATCTGGGGTATAGAGAGAGATGCAGTCTTGTTTGGGAACAATCCTGTTCTGGGAGCAGGGGAGATCTTCCTTCTTATTCCTGCCTTTCCTGTTTCCATCTTCATTTTCGTTGTGCCTTCCGAGAATCAGTCAAGTGTCATGTCAGTAAGGGCCTCTTTCATCTTCATGGCAGGTCTATGTACACCAGCAAAGGTGAAGAGGTTCTCTGCAAGCCGTGTCTGATTCTGCAGCTGCTGAGCTCGAGATATGCCAAAGAGACTGAGACAAGGATAACTTACTCAATTTCCTAATGCAAGTGGTTGGAAGCTTCAATTTTACGCTAGCATTTTGGTAGGGGTACCTTACAGAGTTTCATGGGCTTGGTTATTTCAAAGCGGAAATAAAAAGTATGGCTTCATCCACAAGTAAACGATGAAAATCTTACAGATACCTATGGTGCTTGGCATATATGCCACATGTTTTGGACCAACGTTTAAAATCATATGCACTAAATTGTTGTATTTATGCATCTTTGTTTTTTGAGTACAGAATTCTTTCATCGTACTTTTTTCAGGGTTAAGAAACCTTTTTTTTTCCCGTAGATTATATTTGATTATTACCTTTCCATGGCAGATAAATTCCTATTAGAAACTGTTCGTACGTCACTTGGCATGTTTCTGAATGAGATTTTTGCTTAAAAATATCAAAGATGCTGTCATGTCTCAGTAGAAGAATTCAGCTCTCATTGGAATGGAATGGAACAGAATTACCATGGAAGTCCTTGAAAGAAATGTTATTTTGTGCCTGTCTTACAACTTTTGTAGTATCTATGTCCCTAGGGGCAGGCTGTAAGTGCCAGAAGGTTTATGAACGTGGAGAAGCTGGTGGGAGCTAATGCCCTTCGGGCTGTGCTCTCCTGCTTTGTTTCCTTGCAGAGCTGCACAGAGGAGGGTGCTGAGGTG